AGTGTATCAGGCCACGAATTCTTCAGCTGTCGGCGGTAAGAACTAAATGCGTGCTTCACCAAAGCTGCTTCGCAACTGCGCGAGTTGACAATGCTAACCTCGACACCTGCGTCTGTCATGGACTTTCTCAGCTTCAAACACGGCGGCGGCAGTGCGTCAATGGTACATTTGGGCGGCATGAGCGGCGCGGGGGGCAAGGCAGCACCTGCAGGATTCGAGCCGGTTCGGGCCAGGGTGTTTACAGTTTTGAGTGCCACGCATGCCGCGTTTTCCCGCCCTGGAACGCATATGGGGCCGCGCTGAAGGACCACCCCCTGCGCACCCACTGCGGTGACCCTGCCACGCATAGGGGACCACCCCGTGCGCACCCCCTCTGGTGTCGAGAACGTGCCACGCCTGCAACTCTCCGACCTTGGCATTCGTAAAGGCCGCGCTGTGAGGCCACCCCCTGCGCACCCTCTTTGGTGTCGAGAAACTGCCACGCCGGCCACGTTCTCCGACGTTGGCACGCATAGAGGCCGCGCTGGAAAACCACCCCGTGCGCACCCCTTCTGGTGTCGAGAACGTGCCACGCCTGCCACGTTCCCCGACCCTGGCACGCATCGGGGCCGCGGTGAGAGACCACTTCCTGCGCACCCCCTCTGGTGATGAGAAATGCCACGCCTGCCGCGCTCTCATACCCTGGCTTGCATAGAGGCCGCACTGAGAGACCACCCTTTGCGCACCCCCTCTTGTGTCGAGGACGTATCACGCTTGCCACGCTTTGCGAGCCCGAAACGGATAGGGATGCCACCCCCATTGCACCCCCCTTTGGTGCTCATATGTTGTGTGGTGTGCGTGTCATGCGTATGATGCGTGTGCGGCTGTATTTGGAGTTGTGTCTCATGTGGCTGCCCCGTATGTGTCATGTGAACGATGCGTGTGCGGCTGTGTTTGGACGTGTGTGTCATGTGGGTGCCCAGCATGTGGTGCACACGTCGTGGGTGTATGATGCAGTGAACACGCCAGGTGTGCAGTCTCGTTGTATGGTGTGTGTGTGTGTGTGTGTGTGTGTGTGTGTGTTTGCGATTTGTGTGCATGCGTGCGGCTGTACGTTGAGGGGACGTGCAGTGCATGTGTTGCTCGTGGGTGAGGGAGGAAGAAGGAGGAACATGAGGAGGAGGAGGAGGAGGAGGAAGAGGAGGAGGAGAGGAGGAGGAGGAGGAGGAGGAGGAGGAGGAGGAAGAGGAAAAGGCGGAGGAGGAGGAGGAGGAGGAGGAGGAGGAGGAGGAGGAGGAGGAAGGCGAGTGTGTGAGACGCGGGTGCGGCGCGGGTGAGAACAAAACTGGAACCCCACGAAACATGTGGGGGCAACAAAAATAACGCGCCAGCACGAGCGACGTCGAAACGTCGGAGGCCTCGGCGTGGGCGAGCGGGAGGGCGCTGGGCAGCACGCGCCGAGATGGGGGGGGAGGGCTGTGGGGGGGGGGTCTCCGCGCCCGCTCCTCTGCCAGCGTCCTCTGGGGCAGGGTGCCTCGAGGAGGGCGGAAAAATCACCAGCCTGGAACATTTCCCTACCCCTATGATTGGCATCGCCTTGTCTCGATGCCGATCTTTACATCTTCCCTCAGTCTTCGAGGGCGCATCCCTAAGCATGCCATCGCCTCTTGGCTTGTCAGTGCCTGGGGCAGGGACAAGTCCGAGGCCGGCCAGAGGAGGCCCCGCGGGCACGAGCGGAGGAGGCCGAGGGAGGCGGGCGCGAGACCCAGACGCCCTCGCGCCGTGCAACCATGGGCGGCGGAGACTTTCCGGACCTCCTCGGCCCCGGCGGGCCCCTCGCGGGGCCCGGGGACCGTCGACCGAGCGGCTCGGGGTGCACAGCGGGCCCCGGGGGGAGGGCCTGCGGCCCGCAGCGTGCCGCGCCTGGTGCTTCTGGCCCGGCACCGCCCCGAGCCTCTGGAGGCCCGGCACCGCCCCGCGGAGCGCAGCACTGCGCCACCGGCTCGCTGGGGGCGGGCAGCCCGTCGCCAGGGCCGCCGGCGGAGGCGCTGCGGAGGGGGGCGCTGGGCTGCCGCCCCGGGCGCCTCTCGAGGGCCCGCGGGGGCTGCGCGGGAGGGGGCCGGCCGTTCGCACTCCCCCCGGCCCCTGGGGCTCGCCAGGCCCCCGGGTGTGCGCGCGCGCGCCCTCCCTCTCGCCTCCTCCTCCTGCTCCTCCTGCTCCTCCTGCTCCTGCTCCTCCTCCTCCTCCTCCTCCTCCCTCCTGCTCCTTCCTCCTCCTCCTCCTCCTCCTCCTCCTCCTCCTCCTGCTCCTCCTCCTCCTCCTCCTCCTCCTCCTCCTCCTCCTCCTCCTCCTCCTCCTCCTCCCCTCACCCTCAGACCCCCCGGCCCCTGAGGTCGGGGGGGCTCTGAGGTCTGGGCGTTGCAGTTTCTGCGCGCCGGTCGATTTGGCCCATGCCCGGCGGTCCTCGCAGATCGAACCGGCTTGACAGATGCAGCAGCAAGACGGGGTCGCCATACCCCCGACGTCATCTTTTTCCCAACCCTCCCTTGATTGGGTTCTCGTTTTGAATAGAGCAGTGGGGTCGCCAACTCCCTTTACCCTCTCCTCCCGCCCTATGTCCCCCTCTCTCGCCTGCCTGCGTCCGGCTGCACCTGCCTGCCGGGGTAGCCAGCTCTGTCCCCCTCTCGCCTGCCTGCTGGGGGGGCCAGCACAGTGGGGTGCCACGACGCGGAGCCGCACGGAACCTCGCCATCCCTGGGTGGCTGCGAAGTGTGAAACAGTCGCCATTTTCTAGGGCTGCTGGGGGGGCCAGCACAGTGGGGTCCCACGCAGACCCAAACGGGACCTCGCCATCCCTGGGGTGCTGCGAAGTGTGACACCGTCGCCATTTTCTAGGGCTACCGGGCGGGGCCAGCACAGTGGGGTCCCACGCGGACCCAAACGGGTCCTCGCCATCCCTGGGTGGTTGCGAAGTGTGAAACAGTTGCCACTTTCGAGGGCTGCTGCGGGGGCCAGCACAGTGGGGTCCCACGCAGACCCAAACGGGACCTCGCCATCATCTCGCTGCTTCTGCCGATGTGATTGTTCTTCCACCCCGATGCCTTCCTTTTACTTTCCCTTCCCAGTACAATGCCTCCTGGTCTTTTTGTACCTCTGTGCTGCGAGTCGTCTGCGCACAGTTCGCACGGCATAGATATCCGCCGTGCACAGTCTCTTGCAGTGTTGCTGTTGCATTATTGTTGGCACACCTTGTATCATCCCTTGGTGCCGATGGGTTGGGTACGTCGCAGGGTCATTCCATAACGTCGACTCCCAGAGGTCTCGACCCATTCCCTGGGACCACTTTCTCATCCCGAGTCGTTTTTCGACGGTCCCGAGGGCCAGTGAGGGCCCCCAGAGGCCGAAAACAGCAGCGCCCCCCCCCCCCTCCCCCGATGTGACTTTCGCCCACTTCGAGGGGGCCTGGGTCTGGGGCTCCCGTCCTGAGCTCCTGCGCCCGTGCCCTCGGGGCGGCTGGGGCCTCCAGGGGGCCCCCGGAGCGGTGCGGTGGCCGGCGCCGTGTGCGCTTCTCACCGGCGCGGGCCCTCCGCGGTCCGGACGGGCACGCTCCTCCTCCCGAGCCGCGTCCGGACGCCCCCCACCAAGCCACCCCAAGTTTAAGTCGGGCCTGTCCCTCTACAGGGGGAATGTTCAAACATAGTGAATATAAATATATTATATATATATATATTATATAATATATATATATATATATACATATATAAAATATGTCTCTTCATTTTTCGCCCAAAGTCCGCCTGTAGGGGGACAGGCGCGACCTGACCCCAGCCCCAACCCGAAGGCCTCCTTTTGCCCTCCGCTTCCAGTGCGGGGGGGGGGTCGGGGAACGCGGGAGAAGCACGTGGACCCCGTGCCCCCCCCAGCCCGAAGGGCGAGTCAAGTTCGTGCCTTCGGGTTGGGCTGGGGTGGTCTGGTAGGTAGTCTTAAGTCGGGCCCGTCCCCCTACAGGGGGGATTTTCGACGAAAAATAAAAAATACCCTGACAATAGTCCAAAAATAGTCCGGGGACCATGTTTTGAGCATGTTTTGGCCATTCTGGAGTATCTGAGGAGTCTTTTTTTATTTCTCGTCGAAAATCCCCCCGCAGGGGGGCACGTCCGACTTCAAGGCAGCAGGTCAGTCCTGACGCCCCCGGGGGCCCGCGGGGGCCGCCGCGGGGGCCGCCCCCCCGACGGCCGAGGCCGAAGAGGCCAGACCCCCCTCGAGTTTTCGGAGAGAACTTCACGACGGGCTTTTTTTTCGCAAGGCGCGGCCTCTGGGGGGTCAACAAAAACAAACGACCCGGGCCGAAGAAGCCAGGCCCCCCTCGAGTTTTCGGAGAGAACTTCACGACGGGCGGTTTTTGTCGCAAGGCTCGGCCTCTGTGGGTCAACAAGAACAAACGACCCGGGCCGAAGAAGCCAGACCCCCTTCGAGTTTTCGGAGAGAAGTCACGACGGGCGGTTTTTTTTCGCAAGGCTCGGCCTCTGGGGGGTCAACAGGAACAACGACTCGGGCCGAAGAAGCCAGACCCCCTCGAGTTTTCGGAGAGAACTTCACGACGGGCGTCTTTTTTCGCAAGGCTCGGCCTCTGGGGGGTCAACAAGAACAAACGACCCGGGCCAAAGAAGCCAGTCTCCCTTGAGTTTTCGGAGAGAACTTCACGACGGGCGGTCTTGTGGCCATTTTCGGCCTCCGGTGGCCCTTTCCGGCCCTCGGCACCGTCAACAAAACGGTTTCGACGGAGCAGCCAGTCCGGGGAACGGGGTCGAGCCGTCTCTCTGGGGGTCGACGCCATGAGCAAATCAGGTCGCCGTGGGTCTGGGCACGGGGGAGCGCCTCCTGCGACGAGCGTGCTCCGGGGCCTTCCGGCTCGGGGCGCCGCGGCCGCCCTCTGCCGACTCCCGGGCTGGCCCGTCGCGGCCCGCCGCGGGGTCGTCTGGGCACCGGCCGGGCTCGTTGGCCTCGTCGCCCCTCTCCGCAGCCGCTCCCGCTCGGCTCGGTCGTGGCCGGAGCTCCAGCCTCGCCGCGCCGCCGCGGCGCAGCCCCCTTCGCGAGCAGCCCCCCCTCTCTGCGGGCCTGCGCGCGCAGCCAGAGGAAGAGAGAAGTGGCACAGCGAGCACGCGCCTGCGGGGGTCCGCGCGGACTTCCTGGGCCGTCCAGGGGCAACGTCGGGGGGGGGTCATTACACCGCCCAGGAACGCTCGGCTTCGTCCTTGGGGGCCTAACGCCGATCCATCGGCGACGTGTCGCCGATTCCAGGTCGATGCCCCCCCCTCCGCCCCGCCCTGAGCCGTCCCCGGCTCCGTTCCTCCTCAGTCGTCGCTGGACCTCCGGCAAGGTCGTGCTTCGATGCCGCCTTTTGTTCTTCCAGCGCCGCAGCGCCATGAGCCAAGCCCCCAGTGCGGCAGACGACGTGCCTGGGGACGAGCGAGGCGCTCGCGTCGGGGAGATCCGGGACATGCTGGGCGCCCTCGGCTTCGACCTGCAGGGCGGCTTCATGGAGCAGCGCCTGCGGGAGCTGGTCGAGCAAGAGGTCCCGAGGAGGGACGAGTTACGCACAACCGCCGCCTGGGGGATCGATCTTCGGGGACTTCGGCAGGCGGTGGACATGGATACTTTCGCCCCGCCCAAGGGCTAGCATATGCCCACATATCCCCCCTCCTGGCCCCAGGGGGCCCCGGGGACATCGACTCCCCACGCGGTGGGTGTGGATAAATCCCCGCCTCGCTGAGGTCGACTGGCTCAAGCCAGAGTTCCGGGACCCGTCCAACGGCTACTACCTCGCCGCGGGCATCAAAATCCTGCTGGGCGGCCAGGGGAAGGGTGGCACGCTGCCGCGCGGGTACCGCGTCTATGTGCCTCTGCCGCGCGGCATGGTGACTCTCCTGGCAGGCCAGCACGGGACCGAGACCATGCTGCAGGCCTGCGGGATCAACCGCCGCGCGACCGTTTTTTTGTCGCACTGCCAGGCGGAACCTGTCCGAGACACGCTGTCCGGCATGGAGGACTTCGTGCAGCGGGCAGGCCAGTCCAGCGACGAGCCGGTGTTCTGGCTGGACTTCTTTGGTCTGGACCAGAACAATATTACGTGGACGAAGGACAAGGAGCGCACGAAGCGCACGATCGTGGGGCCGAGAACTCTGGCGGTCATGATGAGCCCGTGGGAGGGCGGAATGACTCTGCAGCGGGCATGGTGCTGCTTGGAGATCGCCCTGCATGCCCTCGTTGGTCATGACATCGTCGTCGTGCTCACGCCGGAGGAGAAGGAGCGCTTCCTCGACGCGCTCCGCAAAGACTACACGAGCATCATGAACAACTTGTGCGCGGTGGATGTGCTAAAGGCGAAGGCGTCGAAGGAGGACGATAAGGAGTGGGTGGTGAAGGAGATGCAGGACGTGCCAGGCGGCGTCCCGAGAATCAATCAGATGATCATCTCTTCGATGTTCGATGCCCTGACGCAGGTCGCGCGCAGTGCAGTCGAGAATGGTGCTGATGACGCGGACGCCAATCCTCATGTGGCTACCGACTGCAGCCAACTGGCCCGGCTGCTCAAGGACCAGGGCGACCTCGGCGCGGACACCGAGAGGCTGATGCGGCGCGCCCTGGACATCGACGAGAAGGCGCTCGGGCCGCAGCACCCTAAGGTGGCTATCCGCTGCAGCAACCTAGCCGCGCTCCTCCAGGCCCGGGGCGACCTCGGCGCGGACACCGAGAGGCTGATGCGGCGCGCCCTGGACATCGACGAGAAGGCGCTCGGGCCGCAGCACCCTAAGGTGGCTATCCGCTGCAGCAACCTAGCCGCGCTCCTCCAGGCCCGGGGCGACCTCGGCGCGGACACCGAGATGCTTGATGCGGCGCGCCCTGGACATCGACGAAGAAAACGCTCGGGCCGCAGCCCCCTGAGGTGGCTAGGCTACCTTTCTTGCAGCAAACCTTGCCCAGCTGCTCCAGGTACCGGGCGGACCTCGGCGCGGACCACCGAGAAGCTGATGCGGCGGGGCGCCCTGGACATCGACGAGAAGGCCGCTCGTGCCGCAGCACCCCAGCGTGGCTACCGCTGGCAGCAACCGATCCATGCTCCGCCAGGCCCGGCGGCGACCTCGGCGCGGACACCGAGAGGCTGATGCGCGCGCCCAGGACATCGGCGAGAAGGCGCCGGGCCCGCAGCACCCTAAGTGGCTACCTTCTGCAGCAACCTTGCCCAGCTGCTCCAGGGGCCCGGGGCGACCTCGGCGCGGACACCGAGAGGGCTGATGCTAGGGCGCGCCCTGGACATCGACGAAGAAGGCGCTTCGGGCCGCAGCACCCTAAGGTGGCTATCCGCTGCAGCAACCTTGCCCAGCTGGCTCCAGGCCCGGGGGCGACCCCGGTCGGCGCGGACACCGAGAGCTGATGCGGCCCGCGGCCCTGGACATCGACAGAAGAGCGCTCGGGCCGCAGCACCCCAGCGTGCTACCTTCTCAGCAACCTTAGCCCCAAGCTGCTCCAGGCCCGGGGCGACCTCGGCGCGGACACCGAGAGGCTGATGCGGCGCGCCCTGGACATCGACGAGAAGGCGCTCGGGCCGCAGCACCCTGAGGTGGCTACCGACTGCAGCAACCTTGCCCAGCTGCTCAAGGCCCGCGGCGACCTCGGCGCGGACACCGAGAGGCTGATGCGGCGCGCCCTGGACATCGGCGAGAAGGCGCTCGGGCCGCAGCACCCCAGCGTGGCTACCTTCTGCAGCAACCTAGCCGCGCTCCTCCAGTCTCGGATCTGAGAGGCTGATGCGGCGCGCCCTGGACATCGACGAGGAGGCGCTCGGGCCGCAGCACCCTGCGGTGGCTACCCGCTGCAGCGACCTGGCCCAGCTGCTCAAGGCCCAGGGCGACCTCGGCGCGGACACTGAGAGGCTGATGCGGCGCGCCCTGAACATCTGCGAAAAAGCGCTCGGGCTGCAGCCTCTTCGCCCCCCTTCGCCTCGCCCATCCCCCCTCCTCCTCCTCCTACTCCTACTCCTCCTCCTACTCCTCCTCTTCCTCCTCCTCCTCGCCCCTCCTCCCTCCCCCAACTCCTCCTCCTTCTCCTCCTCCTCCTCCTCCTCCTTCTCCTCCTCCTCCTCCTCCTCCTCCTCCTCGCCCCTCCTCCTCGCCCCTCCTCCTCGCCCTCCTTTCCTCCTCGTCACTCCTCCTCGGCACTCCTCCTCGCCCTCTCCTATCGCTCCCCTCCGCCTCGCCGTCCGCCTCCCCCCTCTTCCTACCTCCTCCTCCTCCACCTCCTCCTCCTCCCTCCTCCTCCTCCCCTCCCCTCCCCTGGCTTCCTCCTCCTCCTCCTCCTCCTCCTTCCTCCTCTTCTCCTCCTCCTCCTCCTCGCTCCACCTTCTTCTCCTCCTCCTCCTCCTCCTCCTCTCCTCCTCCTCCACCTCCACCTCCTCCTCCCTATCTCCACGCTCCTCCTCCTCCTACCTCCTCCTTTTTTCCTCCTCCCTCCTCCCTCCTCCTCCTTCTCCCTCGTCCTCTTCCTCCTCCTACTCCCCCCCCTCCTCCTTTTTTTTTCCTCCTCCTCCTCCTCCTCCTCCTCCTCCTCCTCGCTCCTCCTCCTCCCATCCTCTCCGCGTCACTCCCCCCATCTCCTTCTCCCCCTCCTCCTCCTCTCTTACCCTCCTCCTCCTCCTCCTTCCCTCCTCTTTCCTTCCCCCCCCGTACCCTCCTCCTCCTTCCTCCCTCTTCCCTCCTCCCCTCTCCTCCCTCTCTTCCTCCTCCTTCTCCTTTGCGTTGCTCAGACCTGAAGCATATGCCTGTGGCGTTTCCTCCTCCTCCTCCTCCTCCTCCTCCTCCTCCTCGTGGCCCTCCCTCGCCCTCTCTTCTTCGCCCTCCCCCATCCTCGCCCTCCCCCTCCCTTCCCACCACTTCCCCCCTTTGCCCCCATGCGCCCCGCGCCTCTCTGCCGCCGACGGTGCCCGCCGGCCCGCCCGCAGCACGCCCGACCCGCTGGCCGAGCCGTGCCTCGTCGCCCCTGCGGCTCTCCGCGCCCGCGCCCGCGCGTGCGCGCGCGGCACTGCGCGGTCATGTCGGCCGATCGGCGGGCGCGGCCGCTGGAACACGACGAGGGCGAGGACTGGCGGCCCCCCTCGGCGGCTCGCGGCGGGCCCTCTCGGCGGGTCGCGGCCCCTCTCGGCGGCCCCCCCACGGCGGGCCCTCTCGGCGGGCCCTCTCGGCGGGCCCTCCCGGCGGGCCCTCCCGGCGCCGCCGAGGGCTGGATCGAGCTGGGCGGGCCCTGCGCGGCGAGTGCAGGGCGGGTCTTGGGCGGGCTTGGGCTGAGGACAGATCGCTCCGGGGCGGAGCGCTCCTCCTCCTCCTCCTCCTCCTCCTCCTCCTCCTCCTCCTCCTCTTTTTTTGTTTTTTTGTTGTTTTTCTTGTTTTTCTTCGTAAGACCGACACTAGGAGGGAGCTTGTTGCGTTAATCGTCCTCGGTTCGTCGTCGTCGTCGTCGTCGTCCTCCTCCTCCTCCTCACTTCCTCCTCCTCCTCCTCCTCCTCCTCCTCCTCCTCCTCTTCCTCGGTTCCTCGTCCTCGTCCTCGTCCTCCTCCTCCTCGTCCTCCTCCTCCGCCTCCTCCTCCTCTTCCCCCTCCTCCTTCTCCTCCTCTTTCCCCTCCTGCTCGGGGCTCTCGCGGAACGTTCTGGACCCGCCGCGGCGCCCGCTACGCCCTCCGGACCCGCCGGCCGACGGCTCTGAGAGTCTCGCGCGTTGGCCTATGCGCGACGCCACCGACCCCGTAATTCTCCATCCTGGTGTGCGTGATCGTACTCAAAAACAGGCCCGCCGCCTGTGAGCGCTTCCCATCCCGACTCGTTTGGGAACAAAGTGCCCCCTCCTCTGCTTGGCCTTCCTCCTCCTTCTGGGGCTGGGCCAGGGAGCTTCGAAACCGATGGCGAGGATGTTTCGCCGCCGTCTGGCGGCACAAAGTCACAAAGCTGTGCCCTGCCCCCACTCGCCCCTCCCCTCTGGGGAAGGGGGTGCTCCCTTGCTCCCGTAGATGTGGTCCTCGCCCTGGCCTCGTCCTCTCAGGGAGCGGGCCGCCTTTCCGAAGCCCCAGCGCCCCACTTGCCTCTCGGGATGTGCACGGGGCATCGTCTGGAGGGGTGCTGGCCCCTCCTATGGGGAGCCCCCAGTCGAGACGGTCCCGATTTGGCGAGCACGGATGCCGACGTGCTCTTGTGCGTGCCGAGCGCAAGTTGCTTTCGCCGCCCTGGGGGGCCCTTCTCGGCTACGCGTACGAGTGACCTTTCGCCAGAGTGACCCTCGGTGCGGGCACACCGGGGCCCCCGGATGGCGGAGTGCTATGCGATAGCAGCGTCTCGCGCGCTCGAGTTCGGTCCCACCCGCGCCCACCACAAAGCCGCGCACCGAAGGCCACTCTTGCCCAGGGGTAAGTCGGGCCTGTCCCTCTACAGGGGGGATGCTCAAAAATGGTCCACGCATAGTCTGGGGGCTATTATTTTTGAGTCTTGTTTGGCCACTTTGTAGCTTTTTGGGGGGTATTTTTTTTTTTTTTGTTCGTCGAAGGTCCCCCTGTAGGGGGACACGCCCGACTTGAGCCCGGGGCCACTCTTGCGTGCGGTCGACCTTCCGCCGGCACGGCACCGCGCAGCGGCAGCGGGCGCAGGCCCCCCCCCGGCGTGCGCCTTCCCGGGCAGGCCGCCCCGCCCGCCCCCCTTTGTTTTGAGCCGGGCATGTCCCTGTCCCAGACCCCCTCGAGTTATGAAAAAGTCACGACGGGAGGTTTTTCATTATTTTTGGCCTCTGGGGGCCCTTACCGGCCCTCGGGACCGTCAAACAACAACTTAGGACGAAAAACCGGTCTCGGGGGATGGGTCCAGACCGCTGGGGGTCGACGTCATGAAAAATTCATGACGTCGGGGGTCTGGGGTATAAGAAGCAAAGTTGTCAAGCATGAGCCAAACACAGTCAACACACACAAGAATACAACAAAAAGCAGTCAAACATGGTCAACTCGAGGGGTGTTCGAAAATGGTAGAACACCTGGTGGTGAGTTTTAGGCGATTTGGGTAATGGTTTTCGAGCGCTGGCTGGCCCAGGAAGCGCAAAACCTCGTGGCGACCGCGTGTCCCCAAACCCGGTGGTGACCCAGAATTATTTTTTGGGGGAATCGGGGTCACCACCGGGTGTCTCACCACCTGGTTTGGAGACCAAGTTTTGAGCCGGGCATGTCCCTGTAAGAAGCAAAGTTGTCAAACATGAGCCAAGCATAGTCAATACACAATAATACAACAAACACAGTCAAACATGGTCAACTCGAGGGGTGTTCATTTTGTTTTTTTAAACAGTCTGGGGACCTTTTTTTTCTGACATTTCTCGACACGGCATATACTCAAGCACCGTCAAAGCACAACATGTGGGGCATCTCTGGCTATCCTCGCATTTTTCCTCGAAGATCCGCCTGTAGGGGCGGACGTGCCCGACCGAACCCTCGTGGGCGGCGGCGCCGCCGCCTCGGCCCTGGCGGCCAGGGCGCGGCCAGGACGCGCTGCCTCCCCCGGGGGGGGGGGGGGGGGGGGGGGGGGGCGGCGGCACGGCGTGCGCGTGCGCGTGCGCGCGCGCGCGCCTCGGGGCGCGCCGCCCTCCCCCAGGGAGGGGCCCCCCCGGGGGCGCCTCCCCGGCAGGCCTGCCGGGTCGCCCCCGAACGGCGCCGCAGGAGAGGCATCCCCACCCCGAGAGGGCCCCGAGAGGGGCCCGAGAGGGCCCGGCCCGAGGGCCCCCCGCCCCCCCGAAGACGACCCGCGCTGCCTCCAGGAGGGCCCCGGGAGGGCCCCAAGTTGGGGGGGCGCTCCGCCCTCCTCGGCCGCCCCTGTTGGCGGCGCCGCTGCCTCGGATCCTGGCAGGCCGCGGCGGGTCCTTGCCCTCCTGTCCGCGGGGGGGGGGGGCGTGAGAAGGGGCGGGCCTTCTCAGAAGGCTCCGAAGTCCCCCTGGCCTTCTGACAGGTTCTCTCCCCCGAAGACACAGAAAACTTCTCAGAGGGCGCGAGGGCTCCTGAGAGGTCCCGCCGCCTTCTGAGCAGGCCTTCTCCTTCTCACTCCCCCCACCTCGCTCGTCGCCGACTATCCACCCTGCCCTCTCCCCCAAGAGCCCCCGACGTGGCTGTTTCCACAGCGTGGAGCCCCTGAGGTCTCGACCCCTTTCCTGGCACCGGCTCCTCCTCCTGGGCAGTCTTTGACGGCCATGGCGGGCCCAGCGAGAGGCCGGGGCTGGGAGCCCGCAGGGCCCAGGAACCCGCGAGCGAGGCACGGCGTGCGCCCCCCTTGCCGGTCCTGGAGAGACGCCGAGCCGCGCGCCCGAGACCTCCACACCTCCTCCTCCTCCTCCTCCTCCTCCTCCTCCTCCTCCTCCTCCTCCTCCTCCTCCTCCTCCTCCTCCCGACCCCGCCTATACACGTGCACCACCTAACTCCACGGGATGGACCAGGATGTCCAGAGATGCGGGAGTTCGGGGTGGGGGCCTCTGGCTGCCAGGGCGAGACCACCGCGGCACCCGTCCGCCCCGCGCGCCCGAGGCCTCCCCCCCCCGGGGAAGCGCCCGGGAGCGCCGACGCGCCCGGAGCCCGGGGCCCAGGCCTGCAGCTCTCGGATCGGGGGAGCGTAAGCCCCGGGTTTGCCAGGACTCGGGTTCGCCATCGTTTTGTGACGACCGCGCCGCGGATTTTGACGAGGAGGAGCTTCGTGGGATGTCTGCGGCGGGAGGCCTCGTCAAAATGCAGGCTCGGCCTCGTCATTTTTTGACGACCTCGTCGGGGATCTCCGAGTCCCCTGTACCCAGGTCTTACGTCCCCCTGATCGGAGCAGAGCGCTCGCGAGGGGGGCCTCGAGAGACGCTCCGCGGGCGGCTCCATGGCCGCCCACGGCGCTCCTGGCCGCGCGGGCGGGGCG